AGTTCAATGATCATATCATAGCAGCAACCGTAGATCTTTGTTTTCCACACACATGAAAATGGCAGTTCAGTGTTGCTGCCAAAGCCAGGAATACCGTCGGGGATCCAGCATTGATAGGCTTATAGGCCTGCTGGATACACTCGGTAAACTAATGGAAAGGATCATCTTTAATAGGCAGACGAAATCTACGGAGAGTGAGCATGAATTGTCAAATGGAAAGGGATATCTACGGTGGATGTAATTTGGACAGTGGTCGAGAGAGCGGAAAACTCATCCAAAAAGAATCGGAGAGGAAATCGATATTGCGCTGTGATAGCGATAGACGTCAAGAACTCATTTATTAGTGCCAGCTGGGAAGCCATCGAAGAATCGCTAAACCAAATGCCGCCGTGCTATAGATTGAGAAACCCTGCATTAAAATCTTCAGAATGTTTTTCTTGATCTTTTTAAGAAACATTTTTTGTCGGAAATTTTGGTTCCGTGTTGTCACCAGTTGATAAAAAACAAACAAACACGACCATGATAATAAGCCTGAGTATGAACACACAACATGGATTTCGCTGTATGAAATGATTATATGAATATATTCGTTTTTCAAAAATGACAGCATTTTAAATTTTTAAATGTTCAGCTTGCTGAATGTAATCTATTATCTCACAATAAAAGCTTTTCAGCTCTCAAATTACCGATGACTGATGAAGTTCATCATCAAGAAAATATAATATTGACGTTGCCTCATCATCAATCTAACCTGTTCGAATGTCGAAACGATTCTCGGAATTCGGTTTTGCTTTTCTAAAATTAGCAGTTGAGTTGATCCAACTGCTCCCTTTCACATTCTTTTCCTATCGACGTCAATTTGCACTTTACGATGCCATGACTTTCACGTGGCTAGATTTTTTTTTCCATTTCAGATCCTTTTCAATTATTCGTGAATAAATGCTTCACGTTCCATTTTCAGTTTTGCAGGTTGTTTTCCAACTTCAGTTTGAAGGATAGTTAACAGGGAAACTTTTACCCCTGGCTCTTGGCCTTGCTACATTCTTCAGAAGATAGATGTCCATTTGCACTAGTACCCTAGATGGTGGTTGTTCATGGTGATGGCTTTTGAAGCATATCAGAAAAAAAATTAACTCTTGTAGCTTGACTTACTGGGAGAAAAGACAACTGCAGTTAGGAAACAAAAGGAACAGTGAGTGGGAATCAGTGCTGTCGGTAATTCAACGTGACACTTGAGTATACTTCGTGAGGAGAAATAGTATTTTCATATATTTTATAGGATTCTTGTGAATATAGGTGGATGTTTATTGTGTTTTACTCTACTGATTAAAATAGATATAGGATAAGAAAATATAGGGTAAATGTTGGCTTCGGCACCAATTGACTGTTTTCGGCAACCAAAATTTAAACGTTAATTTCACTATGTTTTCCCATCAACACACTTCCCTGAATGTATTGAAACGATTCTTTAGTATTTCAGCTTCAATCTGATTATATTTGTATGACCGATCAATCCTGTAATGCCAGATTTTTCTTCAAATGAAGCATACGCACAACAAAATGGGGTTGATTTAGAGTTGCCGATAATAGAACAGCTGGTTAACACGCAGTTCTAATGGGAAGGTTGCCAAAGAAAAAGAGTCTGCCAACAATAGTCACACTCACCTGAGAAGTTTGGAGCGTTGTAAAAACGCTTTAAAACCGTTTTGAAAAATTCTATCGATTGGAATGGATAGAGAAGCAAGCAGCAGATGAATGTAAACAAACAGACACGTCATATATGTGCGTGACGCTGAGAAAATGCTAATAGAAGTGCGGACGCTGCTTAGATTGACGAGAATACGTAAATTCCCCTACCACATGATTTCGATTTAGAATTTCATCGGTTCATGCGTTGACAGAAAAAGATAAACAAATCGACAATCTGTGTGGAAACACTGAGCAGATTGAAATTAGGTCACTTGTACGATGACAGTGTGGTGAAATTAATCAATTTTCAATGCGTCTCCATGCACCATTGTTGCTGCTGGAAGAAGGTTATATGGACAATTCAATGTTGTCATCACGTGTCGGGGGAATTATAATTTAAACGGACCCCAAAGGAGGAGATTAATTTAAGTAAAATGATAAATAAACGATTCAAAGATAGAATATCTGTTGACCTGTCCATTTGCTTGGAAGACACTGACGGTGGGTTTCCATGTCTCAGAACTGGAATTTGTGTGCCAAAAGTGGTAGGCACACAACAAACTTCATTATCTGCATCGTGACTAGGAGGTATTTTAATTGAGTTAAGAGTTGCATGTATGACGTGAGCACATTATCTCTTGACATATTGGTTGCAAGTAGCTGCAGTTATATGAATTTTCAATTATACTTGAACATGGCTAGTGTGATTGTATTCTGTGTTATTGTATGAAGAAGAAGAACATGTAGAAAAGAAGAAGAATAATGCTGAATAAATTTCAAGTATTTGACATCTTTTGATTAAGAAGCATTTTATATATGTTTGGCTTCCCAAGATGATGGAATAAAACTGAGCATTTCTTCTACCACAACGACCAATCCATGCGTGTTTAATTACTTTTATTAATTACTTGCTGAGTGTCTCCGGCCTTGCTCGGGATTCAATATTAGCTTGAGTTTATGCGCCAATTAAAAAAAAACATTCTATATTGTACGTAGCCCCCCTCTTATCCAAGGGGTTACCACCTATGACCTCCACATGCCAAATTCCCTGCCCCAAACTCAGACAGACAGACAGACAGACAGACAGACAGACAGACAGACAGACAGACAGACAGACAGACAGACAGACAGACAGACAGACAGACAGACAGACAGACAGACAGACAGACAGACAGACAGACAGACAGACAGACAGACAGACAGACAGACAGACAGACAGACAGACAGACAGACAGACAGACAGACAGACAGACAGACAGACAGACAGACAGACAGACAGACAGACAGACAGACAGACAGACAGACAGACAGACAGACAGACAGACAGACAGACAGACAGACAGACAGACAGACAGACAGACAGACAGACAGACAGACAGACAGACAGACAGACAGACAGACAGACAGACAGACAGACAGACAGACAGACAGACAGACAGACAGACAGACAGACAGACAGACAGACAGACAGACAGACAGACAGACAGACAGACAGACAGACAGACAGACAGACAGACAGACAGACAGACAGACAGACAGACAGACAGACAGACAGACAGACAGACAGACAGACAGACAGACAGACAGACAGACAGACAGACAGACAGACAGACAGACAGACAGACAGACAGACAGACAGACAGACAGACAGACAGACAGACAGACAGACAGACAGACAGACAGACAGACAGACAGACAGACAGACAGACAGACAGACAGACAGACAGACAGACAGACAGACAGACAGACAGACAGACAGACAGACAGACAGACAGACAGACAGACAGACAGACAGACAGACAGACAGACAGACAGACAGACAGACAGACAGACAGACAGACAGACAGACAGACAGACAGACAGACAGACAGACAGACAGACAGACAGACAGACAGACAGACAGACAGACAGACAGACAGACAGACAGACAGACAGACAGACAGACAGACAGACAGACAGACAGACAGACAGACAGACAGACAGACAGACAGACAGACAGACAGACAGACAGACAGACAGACAGACAGACAGACAGACAGACAGACAGACAGACAGACAGACAGACAGACAGACAGACAGACAGACAGACAGACAGACAGACAGACAGACAGACAGACAGACAGACAGACAGACAGACAGACAGACAGACAGACAGACAGACAGACAGACAGACAGACAGACAGACAGACAGACAGACAGACAGACAGACAGACAGACAGACAGACAGACAGACAGACAGACAGACAGACAGACAGACAGACAGACAGACAGACAGACAGACAGACAGACAGACAGACAGACAGACAGACAGACAGACAGACAGACAGACAGACAGACAGACAGACAGACAGACAGACAGACAGACAGACAGACAGACAGACAGACAGACAGACAGACAGACAGACAGACAGACAGACAGACAGACAGACAGACAGACAGACAGACAGACAGACAGACAGACAGACAGACAGACAGACAGACAGACAGACAGACAGACAGACAGACAGACAGACAGACAGACAGACAGACAGACAGACAGACAGACAGACAGACAGACAGACAGACAGACAGACAGACAGACAGACAGACAGACAGACAGACAGACAGACAGACAGACAGACAGACAGACAGACAGACAGACAGACAGACAGACAGACAGACAGACAGACAGACAGACAGACAGACAGACAGACAGACAGACAGACAGACAGACATTCCTCCTATGTTTTTGTCTATAATTGTCTTTATTTTCATGATCCAACTTTCTCATAAAATGATCATGCGATTGATGCATATACAGGGATAGCGCGAATGACCATGGAGAATTGTAAGTCTTCAGAAATTGAGAAAAGACAAGAAAATTCAGATCTCGGCAAACAGACAGACAGACAGATTACTGTATGTGGTATCCAAACTATGGTAGAATACGAAAATAGGTACCAGTAAGGACCACAGTGAAATGAGTTCAACTGCTGATCGATAATTGGTTCATTTATTGATTTCAGGGGGGTTTACATCATAATCTTACAATTTTGATTATCCTATTTGTTGTGTGTGTCAGAGCGAGGCGACAGGAGGACGAAATAAATAAAAATACGCATTTTACTGGTTTAGTAATTTCGGGGACACGGCGGTCTTACCCGGCAAGTCCATCATCATGTTGGCCATATTTTGACTACATTAGTATGTTCTCAAATAGGATCAACGCAGATAAAATATGATAAAAAGTGATCAACTAGGCCTAGAAGGATTTGCCCCAATTACCCATCACCCTTAAACACATATTGATGTTATATTTCTTTTACTTTCAGATGTTTTTTGAACCAACGGTGATTCTACTAATGATCGAGTAAGAATGCATTCCGGGATATACATTTTTGCTGCAAATATGCGAGCCAGTGAAGGATTATAATAAATAACCGAAGATCAGTAAAAATCCCTGGTTAACCTACACGCAAATGGCATTCCACTTGAAGATGCACGCGAGATGCCGAGGAGAGAAACGAACAGTACAATAGAATATCAATTGCCAAGCACACACAGAGTCACGTTTTAAAAGCGATTAACAGTACCGACAGGAGTACGGACCCTTTTGCTGAAATAGACAGTTGCCTTCACTTTGACGGTAAACTCCCAATCACAGTCATCTAGCGGCACAACGAGGAAATGCATTTTTGGATCGATAAGCGTTCGCAAGCTTGTGGTTTCGGTAGGGCTCGAGTGGCAGCGTCCCTGTCTGGTGGCGGAGGGCTCGGTTTCGGGCATCCCCGACGTATACCTAGAAAATCAATGGTTACCCCAATACATCGGTTTCAAACGGTCGACTGTACCAGGCCACATCTCTATCGGCAACAACAACAACAGCAGCAGCAACAACAGCAACAACAGCAGCAGCAGCAGCAGCAGCAACAGCAGCAGCAACAACAGCATCAGTCTCAACAGCAACAATCACAGTCACAGAATAGCAGTCATCATCAGCATTACCATCAACAGCAGACCAACAATAATCAGCCACACATTCAACATCATCAAGCTCAGCTGCATAGCAGTGGCCACTATAATCAGCATAATAGCATACTTCCACCATCAACGCATCATGCACAGGCTTCGTCGCCGGCTCAACATCTTCAACAAACACAGCAGCACGCAAACAACTATCATGTGCCAGTGACAGTTAATCATATTTATAGGTATGAACGTGTGGTATGGTTTCAATATTCAGGCATTATTTTCATGAAATTAAATAAAAGTAGGTACGATCTCTGAATGGAATCAGTGCAACGTGACTTCCATGATAGCAAATCTGTTAATCTACATTTTATCAAACTTTTCAGCTTTTTACATACTGTTCTGAGAAGATGTTCGATAGCTTGTCCATATACCACGTTGACAGTTTTTGAGAGAATTTATACCCTCACACATCTAATCGTCCTTTGGATAATCATTCACATTTTTCTATACTCCCTTTTCCCTAAAATGTTCATCTGTGGACAGCCCATAAGCATTTTTTTTCAAAATTTATTCAAAGGAGCAGTTTACAAAGCCAAATAATATATCCGTCAGGCTCGACCTTCTCCGATTTGCATGAAACTTTCAGTGTTTGGAAAAACGCCAAAACTGAAATCTTATGCATGAGCTTATGCGCCTTTAAGTTTTGCCATCCAAAATTCATCGTCGCAAAAATCACCGATGAGATGTCAGGTTCAAAAACTCATTTCTTTATATGTCGGCGCCATTCATTGTTATTAGTATTGTTTACGAATCAGGGATTGGAAAACTAACACAACATGCATAAGCATGCTATCAATTGACGTTTGAGTGGTTTTTGTGAGTTTAAAGCTGGAATGATTTTTCGGCGTTGTGAGTGTGAGTGCGTCAATAAGCATGAGAATCTCAAGCGTGAATTTTGTTTGCCGCATTCGCATGCGAGTTTATTCTCGCAAGGACGCTCAATGAATGAGAATGATTTTCTGAACACTGCACACTTACATGGTGAACAGATGTTGTGGTTTGGTGAAGCATTTCCTGCATCGCTGTGCTGTGGTTTCCGCGCCAGTGCACTGCACTGCACAGTGGTCGGAGATGCCAATTTGGTGAACTTAATTGTTTTGTGGTCAAACCGTTGACTTGATCCAAAAACTGTCTTCAGAAGAATTGTTTAAAAAAACATTGCGCATATTATGACAATCACCAATATTTGTCATGGCATACTATGAAAAAAATAAAGAAATAAAAAAATTACTTTTTTTTTGAGTTGGTTGGAAAATGCTAACATGAAGCTTTAGTGTGATAATTTATTAGCTAGAGAATGATCTTTTTTAGAAGAGGGTAGGTGGATAGTTCCGTTAGAGTACGGCAGTATGAAAATTGAATAGAAGTTGAAAATGAGCGAAGGGCCATTAATGCGACAGTTTTTGAAGATAGACGCACATCTTTGCCTAACCCGTACGATGTACGCGGAGACTTGAAGTATGTCTCCAAGTCTACAGGCAAAAGAGATAGAAGGGTAGTTTTTTTTTTCAGCAAAGTAGTAGTACTCACAAAAATATGAAACTTTGCTGAACACATCAAATTTTTATGTCGAAAACTTGTGAAGATATGAATCATTTTTTTTTATGGAAAATGCCTTTAATTTAGTTTTTTAAGTAAAACTTTTTTTATAACAGTTTTTGAAGTGAACGACAGCCTCAACAGTACGTGAATCATCACAAGTGTAAACTCTCCGTAAAGGAAACTAAACTAATCCACCTACGAACAGTCACGACCTATAGATTAAGAAACACTGCTTTAAATAATTATTAATTATAGAGATCTAAGACCTAATCGAATCTTCAATGTCCATCTACATGTAGAACCTCAGACATGACGACTCTAAAACAAATTATTGGAATATTGTGATTTTTTTAAGATTCTACTGATAGGTAACGATTGAGCAAAGCAAATTTATCTTTGAAATGAGATCAGTTCATTCAAGATTTTGCCTCCTTTTGACAATATCTCAACGATTGGTTTCTCTTTTGGTACGTACGGAAAGGTAAATAAATTTGGAAGCCATCAGTAATTATAACATTCCGTTTGGTGCTAAACTGCGCTAGATTAAGAAAGACTAAGTGCGGGTTGTGCTTAATAGGCCGGAAATGGGGTAGTTAACCCTACGTGTAACATGTGAGCTTTAGAAAATTCGAAGTTGGTTTTATGGATCGAAAGGACTGAACAAGAGGACAGTGAGAAAAAAAATCGAACTAGTATTGTTGAGTTAATGATTAGGGAAAGATGAGGCAATATTTACCCCCGGAGAAAGATTATTTTTTGCAAGTTTTGAAGACATTTTCAATATATTTTCGTAGATTTATCTTGCAGCATTGCTAGTTCAGACATTGAACTAGCAATGTTCCTTAACAGATCCTCGAAAAAGAGGTAAACAAGGAATTTTAAATGCTAAAAAGTCATGCAGCTTACCCCATTTTACACTATACCTGGTATGGTTATGAAATTGTAATAACGTAGTTAGTGGAACACTAATACTATTTGGAGCAATATTTTTTTTTAAATTTTGCCTTCGTTTAAAGTTTTGCTTATCCTTATTGGAATAGACTTTGTCCTTCAAAATAAAACTTGAGTGCAAAAATTAAAAAATTCGAGCAAAGATTGGCATGGCAAAAAAAAAAGCCAGTTTAATTGATAAACCGTATCTATTTAACATTACAGTAATTCATCTCCGCAACCGAATGCCATCGAAATCGATCAGAGCAGTGTCGGCATAGGAACACTGAACCAACACGTGCCCCACGTTGGACATGATGCTCAACTGCTGCCAGCGCATCTGAAATGTGGCATGTGGGCTTCACTCGCCCTGGCGACGGTGTTCGTAGCGGGAGCAAAGTTCTATTTCGACCATCAGGTGCCACATGTACAGCAGTTAGAAATGCTTGAATACGAAAGAATCAACATTGTTTTCCTATTATTCCACAGGGTACCGGCCTGGAAGTGCTTATCTTCTGCGCGTTTTCAGCAACGTTTTTCCTAGCAGCGTGTACTGTTTCACTGTGCCGACGTCCAAGGGATCTGCAGATACCCGTTAACAATGTGATATCGGAGACGATCTCCAACGGCGAGCAAAACTCCCTACAGGTACGCGAGAAGTCAGATAAATGCAGCTAAACCAGGATTGTTACTCAATCTCAAAGTTCATTTTCTCGATTTTAGAACAATCCGGATCTAGTGAATAATACTCCATCGCCTCTGCTGAATGGGAGCGTGGGTGGAACGCAGCCAAGTTCGCTGGCCGTGTTGGCACCACCCCCTCCTTACCACATTGCCATTCTGCTGCCGGAAAGCACAAAGGATACGGATGAATCGCCGCCACCGTCATACGATAAAATAGTGATATAATAATAAATTAAAAATCTGCTAGACATCGTACTAGTTACAGGTGCACATCCCATAGTTGAGGCCTACATGTATTCATTTATTTGTATAGAAGCCTGAAAAAGAGAAAGAGGTACAACTATGGTGTGCTCTCACGAGTATCAATAACGTTCACCCGATATGGTATATTTTTTTCTAAATTGAATGATGCCAAAGTTCGTTGTTCGAGAGGAACGACTTTTGTTGGGTGGATGTTTTCTTATGCCAGACGGGTATGCAGGATAAATGACACTGTTTTAGTGAAAACCGTGGTAAATAAATACGCTAAAATCTCTTTGTAGAGATTTCAAACTCTCGCTCGATGTGACCTAGGTAAGATTTTAGACTAAGCTAAACAACATAGAAACCGTTAAGAGAGAAACAAAATGCTCACAATCTGAATAGGTTATTCAATTAGCGGAACAAAGAAATTTGATATTATTTAACCTCTGAAAACGAGTTTCTATACACAGCCATAGCCAAGCGAGAACCCCACTGGTACTCAAGTGCGGTAAACGTTATTAAATCCTAAGTTATTTGCGCTCCAACAATCTGTACACTGTGAGTAAGCTAAAGGCGTAGTTCGACGTAGAGTTGGGTTTCATACTTGCATACATGGCGAGGAACCACTGTCGGTTCACAATAGGAAGAGGCTTCGTGTCACTGTCGTACCGGATACGGCAGCTGGCACAGCAGTTGTGTTAGCGTTTAATTATTAAATCGAGTAATTGAAATTTTAATAAATTTTATGATCGATGCAGTTCCGTTTCTTTTATAATTGAAAGAATTATTCTGTCGTATATTCTGAGCACCTACCAGCGAGTTTAGGGCCAACCTGAAGAATTTTCATCTTCGGCGACTGCTTTTTGCCATGTTGATATTTTTGATATTTTTCAGAACCCTTTTCTCCATCATGATCATTTCGATCATGACTTGTTTCTGTTTTTAGATAAATTTCCTTAATTTATTACAAGTAATATCAATAGGCCACATTAAAATTCAACTCAATTTAGATATCTCCTTAGAATAATCCTAGAACTCTCGTAGATTTGTTTAAAGTGCCCAAATCTGTTTCATTCAATAAGCATCATTTTTATTTACAAATTATTGGTGAACCATTGCAGACTCAAATAAAATAGTGACAAGTGTTCAATATTTTTCGTTCCCGAGAGCTCGTGACATTACAACCGAAAGTGTTAAATCAGCCCTGAAAATTAAACACTCTCGGACGTTAATCTATCCTTGAGCGATTCAAAATTTCCACTATTGAACTCAAACTCGTAGTAGCCATGACATTCATTTTTATTATGGTTCTATAACTAGATATCGAGTTAGTGGACATAGAGTTGTGGAGAGTTGACTATACTTCATCTATGTCACCAAAATCGAGACCTTTTTCGATGTGTCACAATTGAGTACTAATATGGCTTAGCGATAAGAATCAAAACTCCCTTAAGTGAATCCTGTTGAAAAACTATTGCAAATTCGTGGAATTTTTGAAAATTGAGGAGGATTTCCAGGGTTCCAACAAAGCGAGAATCACGTCAACACATTCATATCCATTCCCTAATTGACCTACATGTGAAGGCGGCCGGCGCTGTTATTGCCTATCTTAAAATATGACATCACCAGTTTTTACACATTGCAGATGCTAGTCCCACGCATCGTCTGTTGCTTATCTGTGTAATACAGGTGATCTGGTAATAACGGATTAGCAGCCACGAGCGGTTAATCATTCTCATGCTAAATTATGTCGGTACTATCTGAAGTGATTCAGTACTTTCTATAGCCTTTTTGCAGTAATTCAGTACTTTTCAAACTGATTCCGAGATTTTCTAAAGTGTTTCAGTACTTTCAGTAGAGATTTCGAACTCTTTTGAAATGATTCTGTGTTGTCCAAAGTGATTCCGATTTTTCAGAAGGGATTGATACTTTTCTGAAATGATTCAATTATTACAAAGTGCAAGCAATGTCAACCTCTTCTTGTTTCTAACATGTACAACATATTATTATAACATCTAATGATTTCAAAATTCTGTTTAGTTTTGGTTGTTATAGAAAGTGAGTGGAAGCAAGCAATGGAAATCGAAACGATGAAATAATTTAAAATCCTGATGAATGGAGGCGTCTTAGTGGAATACCTACACGGAAACCAAAAATCTATTACAACGAATGTTAGTGCCGTTTCCTATCATCCTCTGTTCATGAACATCGCAACGAATGTTATAAATTGGCCATGCAGGCGATGTAATGGTTTTTTGTCTTTTTGTATTTCGTATTCTATCTACGCTTTCGACTATACCAGTAAGCTTGTAGTTCGTCGCACATTGTAGAACATTGTACAACGACGCACACACTTGCCTCGAATCTCTCCAGCAGAAAAAGCATACGAAGTCGAGTATGCGAGAAAATGAGCGCTTCATGTTTGCTTTTAGGCAGAAGCATGGAGAGAGCAGTGGAGAAAACACAGGTCTGATTTACCTCACTAATACACTCTACATTTTTCGGTCTCCAATTTTCTTGCATTGGACCGCAGCTAGGTATATCGCATCCTCGGTTCATGCGGTCTCCACTAACACCCTCTGATGATGAATCCCACATAATTGTAAGAGAATCTTACATCCCCCGAGAGAAGGATTATGAGTTTTCCATTTAATTCCGCTACCTTATTTGCTTATCCTTGACAAAAACGCGTATTTCGTCTACAATGTGCAGATTTCTTCAGTGTCTTGTACTAATACTCGACTGTACTGTAATAATAAGTCGAGTATTAGTACAAGATTCTGAAGAAGACTGCACATTGTAGACAAAATACGCGTATTTGTCAAGGATAAGCATATAAGGTAATGGAGTTAAATAGAAAATACTAGTCCTTCTCTCTCTTCAAATTAAAATATAATCCAGACTCCGGGCTAACTTGCAACGCTAAAAAATCCGTAAAAAGTCCTAAACTCTCTGAAAATTATCTTGAACACGCCGGGATAACCATAAACATTTGAAAATAAAAAAACAAACACGGATCTTTCTGCTGCGTTTAATACAATGATCCACAAGATTACTGTTGCTAAATTAGAGTGATAAGGCTTCCATGGTCCCCTTCTTAATTGGCTTCGTTCTAAGCTCACGGGTCGTCAAATGTCAGTGAAAATAAGTGACCGTATTTCTCAGCCGTTTCCGGTTTCTTCTGGTGTACCTCTACTTAGTTATATTGGGGTTATGCTGTAAAGGATCGTAGTGATTCATTTTACCTTCAACAACAGCTGGACGTTTTTGCTACACGGTGTTACAAACAAGAATAGGAAGGTATTGAATGGTTCCAAATGTTTCATCATCACTTTCTGCAGAAAAAAAATCACCGACCTGCTTTACATACAGCCTTCATGGTAAGACACTGAATCGGCCAAAGACTTAGGAGTCATGTTAGATTGTCAACTAACCTTTAAGGAGCATGTGTCATATGTCGCCAGTAAAACATTTTCACAGCTTGGCTTTATTTTTCGTTTTGCTAAAGATTTCAGAGATATTTCGTGCTTGCAAACGGTTTTTTGCTCACTAGCCTTTATTATTACGTGTAAATAACATGAAATCATAAATCAAAATTGGTTTTCTCATCATAACTTTGTGGTCTACATTTTTACGGCTTTGCTATGTTCTAGTAAGTTGTAGATAATAACAAAATAAACAATATTGTAGAACACCGCATTGCAGTAAGTTATTGAAGTTTTTGTAGATTTTTAGACCATAATTTATGAACTTGTAACTTAGCAGGGGGCAAAAAGGGGCAAGTACCCATGGTGCATCTTCAAAATTATAGCAAACATCTGTGAATGTAAGCGATTGTTGGTAAACTATGATTTAAACAAAATAGTGAAAGCCGTGCTTAAATGTGCATGCTATTTCATCAGAATTGCCGCACCTAGTGTTAGAGATATCTTGTATACATTATAATACTACTGTTGAAATCAAGTAAGCCATGACCCAAGACTTCAATCAATTTTCTGAGTTCCTTAGCAACCATCGACAAGTGAAGTAAAATAACATTATTAAATCTTAATTATTTGTTAGACATTGAGTGGTTTGAAAGCTCTATTGTGTACACGAATCACGGTAGCAGTGCCCAGTTTTCAACTGTATGAATGGCCTCCATCGGTTTGTAAAATATCTCAATTTGAAATTTGACTGCCTATGTTTTGGAATTTATGCCAAGAACTATTTTTTAAATCATTCTTATATACCAGTTGAAATCGATAAACATCATCTATTTTCAACATGGAGAGCAGCAGGAAGGAGTTCGGCGATAAAAAAATCGCAGCGTATTCAAAGAGGTCCTGAAAGCCTATTCGATTGATTCAGACATTTTGTCGGAAGTTGCTGTGGAGGTAGAAAAGTATACCAAGACTATTTGTGGTATTTTTCAAAGGCTTTGGATAAAACATAATCGCACAGCTGACAGGGTGCTGCTCCACCATTTTGAGAATTTCAAAATACCGTTCAAACTTCCAGCAAACATCCTCAATATGCTTCCTTCGTCATCATCGAGCGTTCCGGCTGGGCGTAAGCCAATGCCTTTCGAAAAGTGTAGTAACTCGACTAAAATAAAGAAAACAGCATCCATTCGTGAGAACCATCAAGCAGAAGAGCTTGTATTTGCAACGCAGATGAAGCTACGCGAGTCAGGTCAGAAACATGCTGCTGATATTCTCAAAGTGGCTGCGCAGACTACCCCGTCGCGGGCAAGCAAAATTGCTAAATCGTGGAAAAGATCATCGAACAATCCATTGTTCGAGTATAACGATGCTGAAGCTTTGGCATTATTTGTTGATGCAAAGCTGTCCAAATCGCAGTACCGTAAAACAGGGTAACATTGATAACTTTTTAAAGTATATTCTAAATAATTTTTAGAGCAATGAATATTTTTTTAATTTTATATTTTAAAACAAGTACTGAGGATGCAGGAGTTAATTCGTTAGTAATTTGTTTTACGGAAATTAAAGCATATGCATTTTTTGTTAAGTTGTTTGACCGAACATCAGTATTTTGATTTGGGGTTACTTTGATAATGCTTGATGAATGTAGAAAAAAATCGTGAAACTCAATCTTTTCAGTTCTTCAAATATGAAACTTTGAATAAGTATATAATCAGGAAACATCATAGTCAATAAGAACACAACATTGAATTTGTGATGGCTATATCGGAAATACATTTCATAAATGATGGTTTGAGTGCTTTTTCAAACAGGCGAAACATACGAAAATGGTTTTTTAATCTGTTTGTAAAATATGTAACACATTCTATATAAAAACGTTATACGATATCAACGGAAATACCCTAAGTTACAATATGGAAACAATATTTCTAATTTAGAGAAAGCGCAGCGAGTAAATTTAATCTTTACATTATACTATCAAAGTTACCCGCATTATCAAAGATACCGTGTTTTACGGTACGTTAGAATTCAAACTAGAAGCGAAAAAAGCTGTTATCTGGGTGAAAACTATATACACGGTATGAAAAAATCAATGAAAATATTTCTGTAACTTGCAAGCATCTGTAATTTGCAAGAAAACATGCAAATTGGTTTGAAAGCAATACGCAGATGTTTAAAAGATAGTTATATTTATACTAAATATAGGATAAAATTAAGTTTTTTTTTCTGTGTTATAGTCAGCGGCACATGTGTGGAAGTAAAACTACAATCAGCTTCTTGACCACACGTCGGAGCGAATCATCGATGCAAACGAAGAAACTTTGGATAACTTCACAGA